GTGCGCAGAGCAGCTGGTTCATACCTGAGACCAAGTCAGGGTCGATAGCAGACTCTCCCTTCCATGGCCAGGCCAGGAAACGCTAAGGCTAATTCATGGCGCCACTTCTGGGCCTTCGGGGAATTGGAAGACCGAATAAGTTGGTTTGAAAACACGGGGCCTTAGCTTCACATCCGGAGGTTGTTCCCTAAAGATGATGATGATGCCGAATTTTCAGTACGGCTCATGACTCATGGTAAGCAACATGCAAAGGCAAGCTTCAAGCTGCTCACAAGTCTCGTCTCTCGCAATTAAAGGCATGCAGGATCGCTAGATATGCCGAGCCCTGCATGCACGCTCCCGCATCATCAGCGCAGTTTGGCATGTTTCTACTGAGCTCGTCCAGGATGGCTGGGAGGCCTAGACTTAGACAGCTCGCCATCCAGAACGCCAATATGTGACTCAGGCTTGTTCCTCCGATTTTCACATGCAGGTTTCGTCTGTTGTGCAAAGCCCTCTTCGGTGCTTTTGGGGCTCTGGCCCAAGGCCATGCAGATGCGCGCATATGCATCGTAAAAGAGCCATCGACGCTGCTCCTGAACACCGCATGCACGCGACCCAAGTCTTGATTCGAGCAAACCGAAAACTTGCAAAACATCCACGACGGGAACAAACTACTGTACGTGTGAAGCAGAAACGCTTGAGCTGCTCCAACCAGGCTTGTTCTGCATGCAGTGCGGATGCCGTAACAGATTCTGCAAGTGTCAGGCGCAGGCCATCTATACTGCTTCCCAAGATGCCTTAGAAACCTCGCACTCCTCGGGCTGGACTTACTCTGAGAGTGTTTTACATGAGGATGCCACGAAATCGCAATGCGGAGAGAACGGATGTGGACTCACTCGGAAAACAAAATTGGAAAACCAGGAGGACAATTCCGAGACTCAGGAAACAGTTTCGGACAACGTGGGATACAAGTCGGAAAAATCAGCAAAACTCTGCAAACAGCTGCAACGATTCTGGAAAACAAGCGACAGCTCAAACGACAGCGAACACTTGTCGCAGAAAGCCTCACAGGAGAACCGACCAGACTCTGGATTCCGAAGCAGCTAGCAGCTGTTGCATGCTGCTTCCATGTATTGGGGAGATCGTTCCCGGCCCTTCCGTGGCATCCACTGTCAGGCGGACAGCAAACTGAAGTGCTTGGCATCATTCGTGGTCTGCTTCGGGTCGTCTGAAAGGTAACCCATCTTCATGAAGTGCATGAGGTGCTTTTGCTCGTACAGTCGTACAGCTCATTCGTCATCTTTTCGTACTGCTTTGTCATGTTGATCCCTTGGCTTTGTGCCTTCTCTTCGAGGCTCACCGGCTATGAGCAGCTTCGCTTCGCAAACAAGCAATTGTTGAGATAGTGCCTCGGCCTATGCATGCTGAGCTTGATTCACCTCGTTAGTTTAGTTTGCATCATCGCCGAAAACAAGCGAGCAAAAAAAGGAGAAGGAACACAGGCCCCCAGGCTCTCCGCCAGACATCCTCTACTCACACACACACACACACACACACACACACACTCACACACACAAACACACGAAGTAGCTGTTAATCTAACTGCACTAACAAACTAGCAAGCCAACTAATCGACTTCAGCTCACGTGTCACGAAGCCCAATTCGGTCCTTGAGGAATCGACGAAAGTGAAACTCCCTGTCGGACAATGCCTGCTGGCTCTTCTGACCATAATAACCAGTCAGTTGCATAGCAACAGCCGTGACCAAGCCCCCGTGGCCCGCAGACAGTGCCCCCTACCAAACATGCTTGTCGCTTCCTGACACAGTTGCTGACACTTGCTGATGCCAATGACCCCAGGGTTCGGGTTCGGGAGTACATGATCTCAGCTGGAAGACTGCGAGCCACCCGTGCCCCGTGAGGGGGCTCTCCGTGCTTATGACAAGGGGCTTTCGGGCTGTTAACAACAGGCTTTCTTCGCTTGTGACAAAAGCCTTCCTTCGCTGCTCATGACAATCACGCGGTTTGGCGCTGAGCCGTTTTGATTTCTAATGCATGCGCCCCCTGCGGCAGAAACACGCTGAGCAACATGCTGTTTTCAGCTCTGAAGCCTACAGCGACAAGGCCGGTCAAGGCAATGCCGGATGCACATGTGCCACCTTGGCCCCCTCCTGGATGGCCAGATCACTCCTGGGCAAAAATCAGAGCCAGCCAAGTGATAACATGATGCAATACATGCAGCAGCGTCTCACTCAGGCTCACGCGCCACGGCCCCCAATCCAGCGGCGGCCCTCGCGAGCAGTCGGCGAAGTGGCTGGATGTCGCGAAATTGCTTGCGGCTGCTCCAACGAACTCCTGGAGCTGCAGACCCTGGCCTTGCGAGGTCTACAGTCTCCTGCCGAACAGCCGCCACTGCTGCCTCCAGAGCTCACGACCAAAGTGTCACCATCTGTTCAATTCTTTTCTTCCTTTCTGAACCTCCTTTCCGGGCTTTCCTCCTCTTCGAAGACATGCAGAGGAAGCAATCCTCTGCTCGTCTCGTGCTTGCTGGTCGGCTGGGAAGCGGGTCCCCGCATACAAACAAACGTCCAACGTATCGCAAAATCTCTCCACATTTCGTCTTCCCCTCCCTCTGCATCGCTCCCTCCTTTCTCTTTCCGGTGCACCTAGACTTGGACAGATCATGACAGATCAACACCGGTGAAGGCTTAAAGTGATGTCAGTGATGTGGTGTGCCTCCCGAGATTCGGAACCGTCGCCGTCGCCAGCCAACCCCTCGCCGGCTCGGCCCTTCCAAAACGTTGCAAGGCACCTCTTCGTCTTTAACCCTTTGCTACTCAGAGCCTGCGCCACTCCCAGTCGCTTCCCAAGCTGCCGGAACCGCTCCATCCTGGGCGTCATGGACTCGAGAACTTCCCATGTCAGCCGAATTTCGGCGCAGCGCTTCACCTACGGAGCTGCGACATCGCGAGGGAAGCAAAGCGCGGTTTTGTGAGTGGCTGCACGTGGGGCCCAGGCATTGGCACCAAGGGGGCCTTTGCCACCTTCCAGGCGCAGGCGAACAAACGAAGTCTCAACCAGTACCCGCAGCCGTGAAAGGCATACGAGTACGAATAGCGAATAGTTGTTGGGGGGGCGGGGGTCGGGCGGAGTGGCATAAGCCAACAGACAGAAGAAGCTACAGGCCTGCCTCCTCCAACTCTTTGCGTGTGGGAATGGAGAGACGCGCAAAGCTGGTCAGCAAGCGCACGCCTCAGTCGGCCGGCTTTTGCACTTCTGCGCGAAAATTGTTGCAGGGAAGGGCAGAGCGCTTGGTATCTTGGAATTGGGGTCTAAGCCAGGAGCCGATCGAGTGAGATGCCACCGACGCGTGCATGGACAACCACCTCAGAAGCGCGGAAGTGCGCGGAGATGGCAGGCATACCTGCGTTCTCTGCATAGCAAGGCCCCTCAGGCCCTGACACCGAGAAGATCAGGAAGCCACACGCACCTCAGCAGGGCTCTGAGGCTGGGCCGGGCCGAGCGCTCCGGCCGGGGCGCTTGTGCTTCGACTCTCCGAGGGCCTGTCTGAGGTTGGAGAGAAGAAAAAACACCTCAGAAAGACTGCGGCAGTCAGATACGGAATTTCGGGGGCTCTGCCTCACTTGCTGGTCGAAGTAATTAATCATCCCATGATCTCATGAAGCCCAGGAAAACAGCCAAGGCACCACCAGGAACGCTTTGGACTGACTCTTCCCGGCTTCCTCGCGATGGCTTGCTGTCGGCAGCTGCACAGATACGCAGTCAAGCACGGTTGAAAAAATCGAAGCAGGACACGACCTTAGGTTGGTCTAAGAATATTAGGACTTCTTGAGATTCCTAGCTGGCTGACCTCGATCATCCGGTTCTCGCAATAGAAATGGATGCAAAACCTCGTCTCGCAGGGCTCCTGTGGATGATACCAAGCCATGACGACTTTACGACTTTGGCAGGGTGCGGCCCAGGCCTAGGGGTGCTACTAGATTACATATGCCAAGAAGACTTGCCCTATGTGACGCACGGAGAGTGCGATGTAACGCTCTGTGCTCAGGCTGCTGCTCCAGCAGCAACGCGCCAACCAGATGGTAAACATCCATTCCTTGGCCGTTCGCAGAAGCTGTACGAATATGAAGTTGCAGAAGTGATGCAACTTTCCCTGGCTGTCCCAGGCACGTCCAACGGTCAGCTCCACAAGGTCTCTCAAGTCCTGAGGTCATCGTGAACGACATAAACAGTCTCCTGATCAGGCGACACGACGAGCGCTCGTCTAAGTGCTGCCTCGCGGAAAAGCTTCTGCTGCTCGATATTCCTTGGACGATGTGAGAGAAAACAATTCAGCGACAATCCCTTGACGTCTCGCAGGTGGCACGGTTCTGTTGTACGACACAGGTGTTCTGGCCCTGCAATCGAGTTGAGTGCATTCGGAAGCCTGCTCGACTCTGCAGCAGAGTGCTCACACCCTCCCGCTGTCAAATGCAGCTCCGGCTCATCTCGTACTCAGCAAGTCTTCGATGGAAGCTCTGCTCTGCTGAAACAACCTGCGCAGCCGATATGCGAGACATGATGTGCTAGAAGCCGGGCCAAGCCGCTAAGCCGCTAAGCGCTTGAAATCGAAGCAGGAGCTTCAAGGCTTTAAGGCCTGGCCCTCCACAAACAACTCCGGAAAGGCATCCTTCACAAAGCCACCTGGAGTGCGCTGTTCGCACACCGTCCCGAGCTCTTGCGTGGAGCTGAGGCACTGGCCGAGAATCTCCGTCATGGCGCACAACCCGGCTGGAAATTGCTTTGTGCTCTCGGTGCTTTTGAGGTTTGAACTCCGAAAGAATCACCTAGTTCGATAAATTTAGAACGTCGTCCTGAACATTTGCTTTCGCGATGCTTTTGCAAGTCGCTACCATGGATCTCGGCAGCAGGCACAGCAATCACGCGCGCGCAGCCCAAACATGCGAGCTTTCTGCCATGGCTACAGGATATCCTGGGCTGAGACCATGCAGCTCGGGCCTCCGTCGGGACCTTGATCCGGATCCTCCAGCCGCCGCTCAAGGGCCTCCAGACGGCGCTGCTCCGAAGCCATGCAAGCAAGTCTCAGCCCTACAGTCGCGCCTCTTGCAGACCATCCGCAAAGTCTTCTGGAACTGCAAGAAGAGAGGTGCCTTGGAGTGGTCCCACAGGACGAGTGCAAGCAAGCTTTTCCTCCTTGCCGCGCATGTTGTGTATCGTAGCTCCCGGCCGGTGTCCACAACGGCTCGGCACTGGCCGTCAGCACAGTAGTCTAGGGTCCTGACAACGATAGAGTTTGGGTGCAGACGGGGCAAATTTCCAGACTTCATTCAAGCTGTTGTGCTGCCGCGAACGCTGACCGTGCGGACTCACCCTGTGCAGCTTGCAACACTCGCTCCAACGAGCTACTTGTCAGTGTCGGACCTGTCACCGATGCGGATTGCCTTGATCTCCACCTGCCAAAAACATTGGCAGTGGTGGACTTCCCGAATTCCCCGCCGGCCTGCCAATAGCCCAGGTCCGGCAAAGCCACTGGCGCCCAAGTCAAGGGAGAGGCCACTTTGTCCTCGCCGGGCCGGGCCGGCGGCCGCCGGTGCTCCCCTTTCAAAGCTCCGTGAACCGTGACCCGCCGCCCGCCAGCCTCCGAAGATCCACCGAAGGAGATCTCGCTGACCTCCGCGTCGGTGTCTGCCAAGAACACGCCTCCGAAGCACGGCCCGGGGCCGTCTGCGCATCTGTGCATGGCCGCATGCCGAAGTGGATTACAAGAGCCGACGCGGCCCCGACCGAAGCTGGGATGCTCCAGGGAGACTTGCTTGGCCATCATCCCGAAGAAGCTGAACCTGTCATACCGAGACAACGCGATATGGAACCCAAGGCGAGGCGCCTGTCCGAAAAACAGGGCAGGGATGCTGTGGGGCTAAAGCCAGACTATCCAGCCTCAGAAGAAGCCAAGAACCCGACTCTTTGGGAGATCGCGCCCGCTTAGCGACACTTCTCAGCTCTGTCCTATCAGCCCTTGTCGTATCATCATCTCTCATTCGGACATTCGGACCGTTCTTTTTCGACGATGACGATGCAGCCTTTTGAGGAGGTCCAACCGTTTCCTTCACCAACTCCTGCTGCAGCATGTCTGCAAGTCGACCCAGGCACACCTGAGATGCCAGTAAACGCAGATCTTCTGTACAGAAGCGACAAATAGAAGTCATCAAGGTGCCTCGAGCCATTCCCGGCAACCGTGTCGCTCACACAAGAGGCCGGCGGTGTTGAAACCTTGACACACAGTCAGAAACTCAATTGTCTGTTGTCGCTTCACATGATTCACAGGGCATATGATTCACAGGGCATACTCGAATGCATGCATTTACGCGGATTGTTTGTAAAAAGTGACGTCCATGCCATGCAACATGCACCATCATACTGCCAACTTCTGGCTGTCAAGTCCGGTGTTCTGAGTCTGCCAAGTTCCCCTGTGTGTGTCGCACCTGTGTCGGACCGGGGGTGTTCAGCTCCGAGGTAGTATTTTCCAAACGAACTGTCGAAATCAAGGTCCTCTTAGAAATCTACCCTCCAGCAGCATGCGTGTTGAGGTCAAAGCTAAATTCCGCAATTCGAGGTGTTAGAAGCCGCCGGCGGGTGAATCTGGTGACCAACATTTAGTCACGCAGGACAATGACCCATGTGTGCTTGAAGCACCAGAGTTCCCGTACCATAATCATTCACAAGAGACTGACCAGGTCCGCTTGCACAAAGGCCTCGAGACAGGCGGTGTTGCAGCTCAAAGAACAACTGCGAAGCTACCCGTATCTGCTTCTGAATTGAGTACGTAAGGACGGGCTCTCAATTGGATAAAGATGTTGCATGTGCGTCATCTGCTAGAAACCGCCAAGCTCAATTCAGAGAAGTCCTCACATCTTGACTTGCGCAAGGCGGGTGAGCCTCTTCCATCGTCGCCAGCAGTTGCGCAGCTGCCCGCCACTGGCCAGCTCTTTCGCATGCGAGGAGCGCCTCGCAGAAAGCAACGCAACGGCATACAACGGCCATGAAGTGGATGTCATGGATACTGGCCCTTTCCGGTCCGGCTCGGCTTGAGGAAAGCTGTCCATGGAGGGCGCAGCCCAGGCGCACAATTGTAGGTGATGAGGTCGGCGTCATACATCAACAGCTGCAGCACACGCTGCCACTGGCAGCCTTTCCTAGATCATCTGATTCACATTCCTACTTCCTGTCTAGCAAATTATTTCCAGCAGTGTCACGAAGACACCACAAACAAACAAACAAACACAAAAGTCAGCTGTCCGGAGTCTCAGTCCAACACGCAAGCTTACTTTGGGCGTTGTGCAGTGTGGGCAGTGATGTTTCTTTCTTCGCCCAAAAAAGCATAGCAAGTATCGTTCTCCAAATGCTTGGCCATGCCTGTCCTGCCAGCCGATCCAAGTACAGGTGCAAAGGCCGGCGCTGCAGGTCTGAGCTCCCTCCAAGCTGTTGCCCATGTACTCGTGCAGCACGAATGCACTCTTGCTCACTTCTCACCCGAACACCTGTCTTCTGCTTCGCCTCTAGTTTGCCGAGCGTCTCGAATGCAGATGCCAGGGAGTTGACCGTCAAAAGATTTGGTACCTCCCGCATGGAAGCAGTTGTCACTGGCCATTGTCCGTGCGGCATGTAGAAGATTGACTATGTTCTACACGATTTGACGAGCAAAAGTCAGAGAGAATTCCTCTTCCGGTCCCAGCCAATGTGCGAACACTTGAACAAGAGAAGGTTCCTTCGGCAAAGTGCGCCCCTTCCCGGGCGAGGGCAAGCGGGCAAGGCACCAACTGGTAGAGATCCATCGAAGAGACAAATGCCAAAGCCTGCAGAAGAGTTGGTTGAGGGTTTAGGGGCTTTAACCCATGCAGTGCCCAACGCATTATACAAAATCGGACAACCCAGGATGCTTAATGTCTGTCCATGCTCGCTCTGATCACTCATATGATTCGAAACAAGTGTGCGCGATTGGCAGAATATGCGGCACACCTTTCTCTCACGCACTCACCCACCCACCTACGCACGCACTCACTCACTCCGCAAACAAGCAGACCGACCCACCGACAGGTAGAGAAACAAAGACATAAGGACACACACACACACACACACACTTGACACATCGTGTCGCAGGTCTGATCTGTCGGTGCATATTGTCAGAAGCTGTCAGGAAAAGTCAGAAGCTGTCAGGGGAAGTCAGAACATGCAATCAGAAGTACTACCATAGGACAAACGCGAATCACTCATGTAACTGCACATGGAACTGCACATGAAACTGCACTGCACTCCTACCCGCAATCAACAATTGTGTGGTCACAAGCTGCACAAATGTGCCCATGCCGACCACTGCAGGTACGTTTACCTGTCTCAATATCACGGAGCTTCATTGGCAGAGGCCGTGAAATGAGACCCTCTGCCCCCTGCTGCTTAACTCACTCACGTCTCTTGGAAACAGAGTTGGACACACACAAGCCCCGAGGGGCTCCGTGCAATGTTGATGGTCGTTGCGCGCTGTTTTTCTCACCGATTTTTCATCGAAACGTCTTGTGCTTAAGAGAACTAGGAGAGTGGGCTACGAAACTTCAGAAAACGCAGTCTGTACACTAAGTGCAATTCAACTTCGGCTTCTTCTGCATCCGAATCGAAGTACATGCAACACTGAGTTGCAGTTTGGTACGCAGCATTGGCCAATGACACAATACTCACTCGCAAACGCTCCTGTGCTAGGTCTACCACAGCACGCATCCACCTCTTGGAAGGGCTGCCCAACATGGTGCAAGCCACGGCATTGATTTGAACAAAACGGATGGTGGTATGCAAAGACTGAAAACCCATGGTCAACTCAACCGAGGAGGACAGCCGAAATTCTTGTATCCCACGTTGCAAGAATGTGTACGCCACCATGGTGTCGGTTATGGGTTGTGCCTCTTCCGGGTCGTCATTTCGATCGAGGCGAGTAATGAATGTAATTCTGGCTCTGATCGGCAACAAGTACGTCAAGATGTTCTCGAGCACGTCAGAAGCGGCCCAATCCATGTTGTTCAGAATCTACAAAACTTCCAGACTGCTTGATACAAAACTCTGTTACGTGTCTGATGAAAACAACTCCCAAAAGCGCAGCACTTGCACATCCCTGACATGTCTCTCTACACATTTGTTGCACAGCACTTGCACGTACCTCGCACGTCCCTTGCACATCACTTGCAATCCGCTTGCACATCCCTTGCTCATCACTTCTCTTGACATGAAGCAGTGGTGGACTCTTTTTAAACCGTCACAACGAAATCAACCGGTTCAAGGGTTTGGGCAGTCGTTACAGGTTCTGTAAACCGAAGATGGCGAAGGTTTTGTACAAGTTGAAACGTGTGTAGCCTAGGCCACCAGCCAAACTTCTCCCAGAGCTGCATCGCGACGAGATATTTGGCAACGTTGATGGAATCGTTGATGGAGAGCTGGATGTGGAGAGTGATAGTCTCGTGTCCAGTTGCTCGACTGCAGACACGAACCCACATCCGAAAGATGTAGTCACGGCTCATACACCAAGGCAGATTGGCTTCTCGGGCCTTCCGCTTCATGTTAGGCAACCTACAAAGTTTCACTGGATGCCAAATGCTGCAACTCAAGACGATTCATGCAGGAGACTGATAATGCACAGCACAGCAGACGCGCACTCCTCAGGCTCCATCGACTGTCTTTGTCTGCTCTCTCACTTTCGGTCTAAGACGTACTGCACAAGTTTCAAAGTAGACGGAAAACGCTTCCTATAGCCTTGCTTTTCTTTGGCAATGCGTTCTCCATGTTGTCTCAAGAAATCGAGAATGAATTGGGCTCTGTTGTGAATGAAGAAGTCGTCACCAAGCACTCTCGTGCCTTCCATTCTGCGGCGAAATTGGGCACTGGGTGCAGGACGAATCTTGATGCGCGCACCATCAGAACCTTCATCAATCATACGAAGCTTGCGTTTCCGCGGCGGGTCCGTCTTCAACATGTTGGTGTGTTCTGCAGCGGACTGGTTCGACTTTGGAACATGACCTGATCGACCAGGGGACATTGACGTAGACTGTCGGTCATGGAGCGATGACGCATTCGAACTCTCATGATCAAGAGCAAAATCAGCCGAATCAGGATCGCTGACCAAGGTAACATCTGATGCCAAATCTGCACGTCGATCACGTTCTTGGTCCGACACTGCAAAGTCTGACGAAAAGTCGGACGAGTGCACATCCGATACCGAGGCAGCATCGCTCTCAAAACTGGACACCGACATAATTAGAAGCTACCTGTACGTTCCAAGTCTTTTTAGAACCGCAGAATGCCTTGAGGACATGAATCAAAACAGTGTCTGCAAACATTCACGATACATGGTGCCGGCAGATCGCTTGTATAACCCTTGCACATCACTTGCACATCACTTGCACGTCTCTTGCACATCCCTTGCAATACCCTTGCAGCAACACTGGCGCACAAAGTCTTCTTTGCAACTGCTCACGTTTCACTCCGAAACTTCAATCACTGCTGGGAGTGTTGGGGGCAACTCTGAGGATTCTTGCAGCTGGAGAGAGTTAACACAATGGGAAGTCACAGATTGAATGGAATGCAAATCCGTCAGCAGGTTGCCCACCACTTCGTTGGTCTTCTGAAGTTTCTGAAACAGTTCCGTGATGGCAGACATGACTTCAGCCACCTGAGACTCAGTGTCCCTGATTTGTGTGGTGAGCACGTCGAGTTGGGACTGTTGGATCTTTTGGACGGAGATAGCTTCTTCCCGAAAGTGACGAAATTCACCTCTGATTGTGATCAGCTCTTGTTGTGTGTAGGAAATCCAGCGCTGAAGAGGTGCCAACGGGTCACACGCTGAGTTGCTCGACATTGGTGCAATGGGGCGAAACTTGAGCAGGATGCTGCAAAACTGTTCTGTCTGGTATGCAATACAACATGAATGAAGTGATCCTCACAGCACTTGCATCAGATGCACGTTCTTTCCTCACTGCAGAACTCACATGCGCCACAGATACAAGCAAAGATGTCGAACTCCTGTCACTCCGGACATACTTAGCTGAGATCAGACGATTGACTGCGTCGAAATCGGCGTGATTCACAACTTCTGGTAGGCATGGGTTTAGATCTGATTGGAGTACCTGACGTAGCTGAAGATGTAGGCGCAGCCGACGACGAAGCGGTACTCGACACCAAAGGAGGGTCAGGCGCATGATGCCCCAAGCTTCCTGGTAGTGCCGGGGGGGGAAGGACAGGTGCACAGGCACTGGGTGGAGGGAAATTGGGAGGGGGAAGAGGAGGAGGGAGGGGAGGGGGAGGGAGAGGGGGAGGGCCAGGGGGAGGCAAGGGAGGAGGTGTGGCGCTGGAAGATGGGTTGTCAACCACTGCAATCGGCACACTCCTCATTGCTGGCTGGGGGGGTGGAGGCGCATAGGGATGGGATCTGCAATTGCCACTGGACGAACGTGATCCTGAAGCTCCACTACTGCTGGGACGTTCCTCACGTAAATTTGCTCTATCCCTCTCATCCAAACGACGCAACTCTTGCTGCAGCATTCTTTCTGTACCGTCACGCACAAATGCTGTCAATTGAAGTACAAGGGCTTGTCGAAGTTGAGGTCGTGATACAAAGTTGAGCAATCTCACACGCGCTGAATGAGTGAGCATTCTCAAGAACTCATCGATGCTAGGATCCGAAGGTGGCACCGTCGACATGCTTGCTTTCAAGGATGTTCTCGTCTCTTAGCCAAAAACACTGCGACGCCGACAGCTGCAAGTCTCTCACAAATAAAGAACTCAAATGAAAACATGCTGCATGCGTGTCCGCTGTCACCTATCAACTGACTACAGACACACTTTTACCGTTTCATCAAAGCTTCACACAAGCGAAATGAGTATCCAAGATTCGCTAACCACCGTACAAAAGTGTGGACAGCTACTTCCGCTTGGCACGTTGGCCAAGTGTACTTACGAATAAGAGAAATTCTCGACTTCGCGCCTGACACCAGCAATCGATCGCTACCTGCACTCATGGGATGTCGAACTTGCCAAAGGAACTTGGGCTGGAGATAGTAAATAGTTCGGTTTCGGACATCGATGTCAAATCCCAAAAAATGACCATCACCGACGGCTTCAAGTACAATCGGAGAGCCATAAAAGGTCTCTTGGCTGAAGACTTGAAAAGGCACTGTTTTGTGCACTTCGGTGGGTGCAATCACCAGTCTGTTGTCCACATATCTTGCGAGAAAAGTGGAAGGGAAACTCGAGATCTGCGGGAACGTTGCTGCCCAACCGAGCTCAGTCATCACCACCGGAAGGGAAGAGAGGACAGGACTGATTTGGTTACCAATTGACGTGCCATCGACTTGTTTCCACACTCGATTCAACGCCACGAACAAGCCGCATTCAAAGCTGAGGCGAACAATGGTGACCAAGTCGTAAGGATCAATGGTCTTCCAATCGAAGTGCCGACGAATATTGGAAATCCTCCCATGAATGGAGCGAAAATGTTTGCTCTTCTCATTGATGCAAACCGACAATTTAACATCAGGGTGTCTGGCAGTGAACATACGAACCATCTCCACTGCTTCCAGAATACGACTTTGGGGCACCGAGTTAAAGAACCCGACCAGATCGTCATTGAGCAGTTCAAGTTCAGTATCCAACGAACAATGCTTAAACACCTGATGAATGTGGTGCCAAATCTGTGGGACACTGCGTGACAGTGAACCAGGCCATACTGTGTTGACCATTTGGTCAATGCAGATCGCTGCGGCTCTAAGAATAGGGCCCAAGGCTGTATTCTTGTAGCTGATGATGGTTCGTCCTGACT